GAAAGGTCACATGATCAAGAAGGGAGTGATGACCGAGATGACAGATGATAGAGTTATTTGGAGGACGAAAACCCGGTGCGCTGACCCTACGGGAGAAGGACAAGGCATGGCAGAAAATGATCCCTGCAACTGCTTTCATAGACTAGTTGTTCCTTACATCAGCGTGTGAATCTTTAGGTCTAAATGATGCAATTTGAGAAACCCTTCCTTAATACACTATGCTAAGAAATTCTATGCCGATTAAGTCTTTAAGTAGATAATTAACAACTTGATATGCCTTCTTTTATTTATACTCATATTGTAAAGAAGATTTTTTTTGTATGTATTGAAATAACTCAAAAACTACAGGGCCGAAAGCAAATGCAATAGCAAATGTCAAAATGACATGACTTGACAAACCTTGGCAACCTTGCTTCCTTGATGTTGGCAGTAACTTATTGTCTCTTTCCCACATTAAGGTTTTTATCCAAAATATTTATCCCTTGAGTTTAATGGCGTTAAAATATATAGTCTAAAGCGCAAGTGTAGGGCTTTTTATTTCAAAAAAATAATTATTCAAAAATATGCTGTAATTGCTGACATCTTAGGCAACAAAGAAGTGTGTGTTTACGCTTTATTATAATAATAGTATAGATTGAGACAGACATGTTTTCGTACACCTGTTTTGCAGTTTAAACTCACAGTTACAACGTCTTCATTGAGATAATTAATTTTCTAAAACTTCCGTACCGAGGTCAGTGCTCCCGTTTTAAATCGTTCTAACTTAACAGACGACCGTCAAATTTACCGTGATTTTGTCACCGTAACTTCGTTTCGCTTTAATATTGGAAGAGGAAAACTAACAGTAGAACTCTACTGCTATACTTTTATTGGTATATCTCTTTCTTTCTATATAGCAAAAGAGAGACAGCGATAAGTATTGTGTGCAGTGTAATACCACGGTAACGTTTTGTGCACTTTTTTAATCTATAATCTAATGTTATTAAATTTAGATCGTCAGAATTAGGTCCGTTTCGGTTGACGATGTACGCTTTTTTACTTATCGAATTGTCGTTGGATTGACCGATATTTTTTTTCCTTTTTTTTTAATTCTAGATGTCGTGACTAGTGACGTTTGCAAAAAAATGTTAATAAGAGTGCTAAACGATGTAATCGTTTTTATTTTAATTTGATAACGACCAACAATTTGTAATTTTTTTTAAATATCATTTGAAGTTTATAAGATTCACATGCAGTTTATTTTGTAGTACAAAAGTTGGCGAAACTAAAATCTGCAAACTGAATTGTTACTAAACTAACTATTTGTAGTTATTTTTAAAACTAAAAACCAATAGTCAGATGGACTTATTAGTTATTGGATGGAAATTCTGATTTCTGTTTCTCGAAACTCTTTATAAGTTTGTACGTAACTGAGCTGTCGCCCGCAAACTTAGCGCGAATTTTTTTAAAGTCATCTCGCGCGAACGAAAACGAAAATCGCATCAAAAATTTTGTGACTGTCTGTCAACATGCTACGTTTGTAAGACGTAATCTCTAAAACGAATTCGACGGGTCTTTTAAGGATTAAAAAGATTTTTAAATATTAAAAAGATTTGTTTATAAAGTTACAAAATTTGTTTTAACACAATCTTTCACTGAAGGGTGACAGACTGGTATAGTATAAGCTATTTTTTTATCTTAATACGTGGACGAAGTCGCGAGCAACTAGTAGTAACCAAAAATAATCATTTGAATCAAATTGAATACATTAACATAAGCCAGTGCAATGTATAAAATTTTCATTGAATTTGAGTATTTTGACTATTATTTGAAGTGAATCACAATCCAGACATTATTCCATAATTCGTCAAGGACCGTCACCCTGTCCCCGAACACTCACCGCACCCCTCAACCCCCGTCACCTTATAAATGATCATTACAGCCAGGGGGTGAAAGTTGGGGACTTTCCATTGGCCTAAATCGCCCCCGTGAAAGTAATATAGGGTTGGTTTGTTCTCTATGTACTGATTGTAGATTCTTATAACAATACCGACCGCCGAGGGGGTAGCGACAATGTGGGCTATACGAACGTATTCAAAACAACTTTTACTTACAAAATATTGGAGGAACCAGTTTTACTAATAATACTGTCTAGTAATAGTTGTAGGGTCAATAAAGTAGTCGAAACAGATGTAAAGAAACCCATTTTATTAGTCTGCAAGCATCTCAAGGCTTGTTATTTAAACTCTGAGAAAATCTACAGATAGCAAATCATCTTTACTATTATAATAAAGCGTAAACACACACTTCTTTGTGTCCTAAGATATCAGCAATTACAGCATATTTTTGAATAATTCTTATTTTAATTAAAAGCCTTACACTAACGTCACGCTTTAGGCTATACATTTTCACGCCATTAAACTTAGGGGATAAATAATTTGGATAAAAACCCTAATGTGGGAAAGAGACCATAACTTGCTGCCAACATCAAGGAAGCAAGATTGCCAAGGTTTGTCAAGTCATGTCATTTTGACATTTGCTATTGATAATTTGGAAAATGTAAACAATAAAATGAAATTTTCATAATTTCATGCGGATGAAGCCACACGGGAACAGTTAGTAGGCCATACATAACAGATGATTATAGCAATACTAGGTTTCGCAAGCGAATTCGTCCACGCGGAATTTATAAAAAAAAATAGTAAGTGGTTGTTCTTTCAGTTCTACATCTGTGCCAAATTTAATCGAGATTCGTTCACCCGCTTAGGCTATGAACTCTAACAAAGTCTAACAAGTCTTTTAACAAAGATTTAAGTATTTACGTAGAAAAGCAATAAATGTGCAAATACTTAAGTAGTAAAATAGTTACTTTATCAATTTAAAATGAACTCAAACCCACAAATCATACTAATACTCGTATTATAAATGCGAATATTTTGATGGATGAAAAAATTGGTACAGATGTGGAGGATATTCTAGATGAAAACATAGAATAGTCTCTTTTGTTTTTTTTTAATTCCACGCGGACGGAGTCGCAGGCGAAAACTAGTTATTTAATAAGCATCACCCGGAACAAATCTCGGATAATCTAAATTTAATATCACATTCAAGCGTAACCATTAATAGAAAATTATATTAAAATACTAGCTTACGCCCGCGACTCCGTGATCGTGGAATTAAAAAAAAAAAACAAAAGCAATGATCTAGAAGACTTTTGTACTTTATATATTTACATATAAAATAGTAAAACAAACAAAAACCGAAGTATACAAGTTATCGCAGATAAAAATATTACTAGCTTTCGCCCGCGACTCCATCCGCGTGGTATTAAAACAAATCCAAGTAGCCTATGTGTTCTTCCAGACTATCCTCTACATCTATGCCAAATAACATTCAGATCCGTTCAGCTGTTTAGGCTACAAACTCTAACAAACATCCATCCATCTAAACTTTCACATTTATAATAGTTTGATGATGAAATTTACTCCTTGTTGTTTATACACATTACATTTATCTATAGTAATCCAGTCTATCTATACTAATAACATAAAGAGGAAAGATTTGTATTTTTGGATTTTTATATGTCTTAAAATAAGTCAAAAACTACTGGACCAATAAAAAGCTACGTTAACAATTAGTAACATGGAGTTTGTTTTTAACATTTTTTTTTATTTCACGAGTAGTCTTGTGCAACAGCTATTTTGTTCAAAACTGTGTAATACACTTCACATTATTATTATATGAGAAATTTATATGTATGGATGTTTGCAAATTCGCTTGACGGATAATTTCTCATAAATGGACAACATAGTCTGGAAGAACATTATATAGGCCGTTTTAAGTTTTTTTTTTATAATTTCGTACGGACAAAGACGCGGTCAAATCTAGTAATAGTTTTAGTTGACTTGTAAAGACTAATATATGAGAAAAGTTAGATATGTTGAATTATAAGTGATCTTATAAGAAATGTAACTACGTTAGAAAGGTCGACATATAGTGTTTAACTAAATATCAGGAACTCTGCCTACCTCTATTGTTGATAAGATTGAGTGTGTTAATTCAATTTTACTTGCGTGTCTTTCGTACAGCGTCTTTACGTAGAAATAAAACTAAACGAGAAACATCGAACATGGAACACTCCGCTATCGCCTCTCACATAAAAGACTTCCTTCACATGACAATAATTGACATTTGCACATCCTACAACAAGCCATTTTACACTTTATACTACAAACAAATAGAGTTTAAAATCAAATAATTAAAACTCAAGACGAACATCTCGGATGTCTAGTATACTATACCAATAATGAACTTTATTTCATAGAGAATAAGGCTTATTTTATTTAAAATCTTTCACTGGGACGAGATCAAATTTTGAATCTCGGTACGTTGCAAAAACCGCCACGCGTTCGGTCACCGAACTCGCTGTGTTTGTGTGCGCGGCTTGCGAATCTGTCGCTGTGTGCGTGCCAGACGTGTAGCGATGAGCGATTATCTTGCATGTGTGCACTCCTACGCGATCTCTGCGCTTGTTGTGCTTGTACCGATTGCTTTCGAACTCGTGTGCGAGATGTATAGCGTGTTCTAATATGATTAGTATTGACTTTTTTATTGCTTTCTCCATCTTGAGTGAATATTTTTTTAACTTTTTTTTTATAATTCCAAATAATTTAAAATTATACGTTATGTAATTTATCCTAAACTAAGGATGATCCTTAATTCTTGATTTTTTTTATTATTTCAAGTCTTATAAGGACAGTAATATTTCCAATAAGAAAATAATAAAGTGAAAATAATACATGTGTAATATATTTGGTAAAAAGATAATTTAAAGGTCCTATAAAATTCTGAACCACAAGTTGTAGATACTTTCGTCTCATACACGTTAATTTGTCAGTGTCAAGCCACTTTAAATATGGGTTAAATTAATCATAGTTAATCAATTTATACAAGTAAAAAGATTCCTTGAATTAGACAGTTTTTTAACGGATTTCCAAATTAAATGATTTTTTCTTTTACAGGTCACCGACCAAATCATACTTCAATGGTTATTTTTCGCAACGGTAAGTTATATTACTAAGTTTTTAATAATTCCAATAGAAGTTTAAAATTTATTTACGTATTTTTTGTATTGTTTTAATTTAAGGTACTATGTGAAACAAAACTATCCAATTAGAATGAAAATTCAATTGGAATTGATCAAATGAATGAGCATGTATAATGTTCATTACAAAGTGTGCGCTAGTGTGCGTTGCGTATATACGTGTGAGTTGGACGCGTCTGTGTGCGCTGTCTGGCTGTGTATGTGTGCACTTTCAACATTCAGGCCCGGGGAAAGACACTATTATTATTGCTCTCGAGAAATTCTGGATTTTTCAAAAAATTACCGACTTATATTTATTACCGAGTTAATTTGAAAACTAAACTGTTTTAATATATTTATTACGACATTAAACACTTTAAGATATATAAAACAATATAATAATATGTAACTATATTAAATTAATCTAAACATTTGTTTGGAAGATTCTATAAGGCGTTACTTAAACTTATTTTATACTAGCTTTCGCCCGTGACTCCGTCCGTGTGTTCTTCCAGACTTTCCTCTACATCTATGCAAAATTTTATCGAAATCTGTTCAGCGGTTTAGGCTACAAACTCTAACAAACATCCATCCATCTAAACTTTCACATTTATAGTATTAGTAAGAAGTAAGATAGTTAATATTGACAAATATTTATTCATGAAGTTGTCTTTACTATTCTAAACACATTTACTATGTATGTGACATTATTATGCGACTACGTAATTAACCTTATGACGTCTCTGAGTTTTCAGAACACTTTTCATGCATTACAGTTTTTTTAATCTATACAATTATAATAAAGTGTAAACACACACTTCTTTGTGTTAAAGATGTCAGCAATTACAGCATATTTTTGAATAATTCTTTCTTTAATAAAAAGCCCTACACTTACGTCACGCTTTAGGCTATATATTTTCACGCCGCTAAACTTAGGGGTAAATATTTTGAATAAAAC